AAAAAAAAACAATGTTGCATCATGATTCCGTGAACTTTTAGCTACATACAGGCATCATTGAATGTGGAAAGGGGAATACCGCTTAGTAACTGATTTCGAGTTCCGTATTGTAAGTTACAAACCGAGTTTTTTTCCGAGCGGAGAAAACGAGGTTAAAAAGCATAACTTGCAGTACGGTCCGAGAAAACGAGGTTAGTAAGATGAATCTGGGTTCAAGTAGAGGAATAGAATTTAATTTCAAACAAACTTTTGAACTTAGCGAGCCGTTTGTAGAAATACGACCTGCTAAATTGACCAATCAGAGCGTGTGTACTAACTGAAAGATGTAATTATTTTTCCTTGCGTCGAGAGATGTTCAGATGTTTTTAAGAGCTATTGTAAAGAATTGAAATTGTTGAGGCACTATAAGAATTTTTACTAAGAAAAGTGTCTAGTTAAGAGTGGAGTTATTTTCCCTATATATTTTTGTAACATGGAATTTTTTGTATGCGAAGGAAATATAATGCTTTGTTACTTACTTGATTGTTGTATGTCTTCATTATCGATTGGAGGAGATTACCTAAGGGGGGATTGATGTAATGTTTTTCTCATTTTGAAAAACTCAACGTTTTTATAATCCCACCACGAGTTTTCGGAATTTCTAAAAATATATATTCTTTTTCTTCGAAACCATCATTGAGTCACAATAAGGCTATTCCTAAATTTGCAGCTTCGATTTCAAACACTTCGTCCTGCTGAACTGTCCCCACTTTATCCCGTCATTGCCGAGCGTAGGAAAGTGCAGGTGAAGTGCAAGATAAGCACGAGGAGATTTCGGGGAGAGTGTGGCAAAAGTGCGGGTACAGTACAATTGAAGTCTCGGGGTAAATTCGGATAATTTACGGGAAAAGCGCGGTAATAGTGCGGGTTACTTGCGGGAAAACCGCGATCAACGTGCAAGCAAACTGCAGGTAAAGTTCGAGTAACTTGCGGGGGAAAGCGCGGTAAGGGCGAGGCGCCGGAAAACTGTGGGAAAGTGCGTAAAAAGCGCCAGGAAAGTGCGGGGCAAAAGCGGCAGATAAGTGCAAGAAGAAGCGGTTTACGTGAGGAGGAAAGCGCGTGGAGAGTGTAAGGGGCGGGAAACACGCGCGAGGAGCGCGTGAGGGGCGAGAAACACGCAAAAGGACCACGTAGAACTAAACGAAGCACTGATTCTTAGTCACAAGACCAAGACCAAAGACCAAATCAAGCACGTCAGATTTTATTTCACTTTACCATGGTAATTGGCAATCTCACGAACAAAATTATGCTTCGTCTTCCGGCACGCACTGCCTTATTGGAAAGGGAATCTTGACGATTGGAAGTGTCACATGGGTCGTGGTTTTGCAAACCAAATGTTCCTGACAACCGCACTTATGGACGCTCTAAAAATTAAACCAAAGAATATTGTCTGGTCAGGAAAACAGATCTTTTATTATGGCGGAATACACGAAGAGTCTCCAGGGGGTGTAGGTCGGGGGATTGTGAAAGCCTCTTTCCTATCGAATGAGTTTTCAGAGGTCCATTTTAACTGTTGAAACCGTATTTTAATCTTTCTATAGTTCACATTTAACGAAGCCCACTTAAGTTTTCACCCTTCCAGAGCGTCCAAAACAACATTGACTTGTTTTGGAGGTTCGACTAAGCTGTGGAAGTTGGGTCAGAGTTACAATTTTTTTTGAGGAAAGCAGCTCTACCTATCATATGGTTGAAGTTGACGGACAGTCCTCGGAAGGGGGGCCCTTGGGAACTGTAGATTCTACTTTCTTATGTTGCTTTCTCATTGATCCAAACCGATTTTACCTCAGCTAACGAACCTGTCTGTTAACAGACCTCAGTTTGTTCTCAGATCACGTTATTCGACTAGGGCAAATTTATGAAGGCCTTTGGAAAGGCATCAGCAACACAGGGAGCACGCCTGCCATCCAAGAGCGCTTCATTACAGACAAAGCCAATGTGATCAAAACAGCCAATCAGAACAAAAGAAATATTACAAGTAACCAATAGGAAACTTAGAGTTAACACTACAACCACCACACGGAACAACCTGAACCGCGGGAAACGCAAGTGATCAACCGCTGACCAATAGTTTTGAATCTGATTACAGTGAGAAAGATACGCAAGGTATCTGGACCAATCACAGAGGGATGTTGAAAAAAATCAAAGCAATCCAATATTTCTTTCAACATTTCATTACCATTTAACTATTCACACTTGCTACACCTACCCTGAGGTAACAAGTAAAGTATTTCAGCAACTTCAGGCTACATCGTTTGCTAAACAGACAGCAGGTGTTTGGCCAAAAACAGTCGGCTGCCGTAGTGCATTTCTGAAATCAAAGTTGAATAGAAGCAAGAAACCACTATTAAGAAATTCATACTTTTGAAGAAACTACAGAATTTGTTATGTATCCAACAAAACAGCATCATATGGTAGGATAGAATTTTGGCTGCAATCACGGTATTAAGATTTCTCTATTCAAGTTCTCCTTAGCGCTTCATAGAAAGAAAGAAAGAAAGATTCAAATCTTCGCCATAATAGGTCCTCCTAATCTCGTACCCAGATCCTACCGTGCAACTGAAATTTTTAGATCCTACTATGTACCATCGTTTGGCCGAAGAAGATCTGGGTACGAGACTTAAGTCCCCCTCGTCTGACATAACATTTCTTGATCCAGGAGAAATGAAAAGGAAAAACTTGCAAGGACGAAGTACCAAAACTAGTTTCCTTTTACCCCAGATCATTATTTTTTCCTCACCTTTCCAGGATAAAATCTTGCTGCCGGGTCCAATGCTGCACTGCCAGGGTCCAAAGTTTCATTAACGTCATATTCTGTTAGTTTTTCGACGACGATCGGCTCATTGACCGGCATGCATTGCTTTACCTCAGCTGTTTGTTCTCCCATGTCAATTTCCCGTGTTACTTTGCAGGCTAATCCCGGTGCGCAACTGCAATGGGAATTTTCCTGAGCATGAGAAAAATAAAAACAAAAGAAGATTTACATTAGAAGCTTTAGAACAAGGCGATATCCTCGCAAATTTCGAATTTTAAATGAATCTGAGACTCACCCTAGTTTCACAAGCTGAATACTTTGGCAAATTGGAGCAAGCCTAGAAAAGATTAATTTAAAGTTTAAAAAGTTTAATTTCTACGTAAAAAAGGTTTTAAACCATCCGCCTCACTCTTATCTAGATCAGGAATATCGTAATTTAAACCGGGATTCCAAGCCCCGTTACATCTGACCGTCTAATCCAATTTTGATCATCCACTTTATAATTGGAAATAAAAAAGACAGATTAATTTTTTTTTATTCTTCGTTTTGTTTTGTTTTACCGTTTTTTGTCAGAGTGTACATAAAATTTTTATGTTAACTGCGCTGAAATTCCCCTATATTCCTTTCCTTCCGCAAATATTTCTCATTTTTTTTGTCATTTCGCTTTGGTTTTTCTTTTCTTTTCTTCCTGTCTATATCAATACATCAGCTGTTTTGCTTTGCATGCGAATAATTTAGAGTTATTCAAGTTGAATTACACGAGGGCATTTGGTTTCATTACACTGCTTAGCGTTAACGATAGCTACCGCTAAAATATGACATCTTGAACCCTTTCACTCCCAAGAATACAATAGTAAGTCTCCTAACTATCTTCCATACATTTCTCACGACGTTAGGTCGGAGAATTTGGTATTGGATCGACTAATAATCTCCTAATTGATATGTTTCTCCGTTCTTATCCCTTATCTGCTTGACATTAATATTTTTAGGATAAATTATCTGTTGGTCACTCCTTTGAGTCAAGGGGAGCTAAGAGATTGCTTTAGAACGTTCGGTTTCTGAATTGAAACAAAAAAATTATCGCTGCTAATCAGCACAGACAACTTACCACAGACAACGAGAAAAACAGAGTTAGGACTGCTAAGCTTTTCATTTTGAGTACTTGAATCTGATCGAAATGTGAATTTTTAGGATTAAAATAAACTCAGTCTTAACTGGATAAATCTACGGTTCGCTAGGTCGGTTATTTTTATACTTTTTTGTCACGTGATGGGGTATTTTACACAACGCTATTGGGAACCTGTTCTACAGGCTTTTGAGTGAACACTGCTAGATCATGTCAATCTAATAAGGGACATGAAAGAGATTCAGGGCTTTTAAAAAACCTTTTCAAATAAAAGGAAATGTAGATGTATGCCTTACGCAAAAAAATTACTTGCCTACTATTGAAAACATTGCAAATGTCTTTTTGTGTATTAATTTCTTTTCTTTTTGAGAAATTAGCGGGGAGGGCTTATAACTTTGAGTCAATGCTATGAATCTCTAAGTGGCCGTTGACAAAACATAAAACAGTTTTAATTTTGGTTATGTTTACAAAGAAACATCACCATGGCCTCTTCGTACTGTAGTAAAACTTACCAACTCTTAAAAATGTTATCGATTGTTAATTCAGCCTGTATCCTGTTTGCACGAATTTAAATAATAATCACAGTCGTAAAGAGCTTGTAAAATATGTTGAGCAACTGTGAAAACACGCCACAAACAAGAAACAAATATATTTAACAATCTAATGGAACCTATAAGCATTTTTTGTTGTTGCCATCATTATTGAGTAAAAATAACACTTTACAGCGCATCTAAGCAAAGTGTCTCTGATCTGTTGGCAGCTTTCACTGTAGTATCCTCAAAAAAGTTTGAACAAGCCATTGGAGAGAGAGTTTGGATTCATCAACTGAGTTGATAATGTAAATTGGCCACCGTAAAGAATTTCTATATTCGACGTTTCGGGCGTTGGCTCTTTTGTCAGAGCGAAAAGAAGGCTTACGCTCGAAACGTTTTGCGGAGGTCAATTTACATTCTCAACTCAGTTGATAAAACCAAATTATTTGTAATACCACCCAGCGACGCAGCACCAAATTTTCTGTAAAGCCTTGATCCTTTTCTTTATTAGTGGGAGTGGTCGTTTAAGCAATATTGTGTAATTATTCATGCTTTGCACCAAATAACTTGCTTCAGCCATTACCATTCTTAGGTTCATTTTCGCGATAGGTTTTAAACATCTGATTGGCTGAGAAAGTAGAGTGAGTCTCTTGACCAATCATATGGCGAAGAAAAGTGTAGTAAAATCAAGGAAATCCCGCTTTATTTTGGCCCTCAGTTACTATCAATGTGAACAAGACTCAACAATTAACCCTCTGACCACTAAGTGTGACTAGCATCTAATTTCTCCCAAAAATATCACCCCTGAGTCACACATTAAGGTCTCCAGAATAGAGGAAATGATCACCAACTAGGCCCTTGATTGTTAAACAAGTTCTCCTTGTTCACGCCTCAGGGAAATTTACAGAGAACAGTATGGAGACTATGCATACTAATGTTAACGTGTACAGGGTTAAAAAATTGAGAATGGGGGTGTTTCAAGATGGAAGGCAGCCAGGGAAACCACGTAATCATACTCGTTAACACTTTGGCACGATGAACACAGAACTTTTCCACAATATTTATAAATATTAACTGTGAAAGGGTGATGAAAGCTGGGAAACGTATCAAGCAAAACTAGTTATATCTTCAAACGACCCATAGTTTAATTCTGATTGTCGAGGAAAGCTTGGATTCGTTTAGCAGCTTAAGAAGGTTTTAAACGATGCCACGTAGCACGAATTTCCCACCGACTGACATCTCCCTACCCTCCCCCCCACTTTTCTCACCCCCACTCCCTCCCCGATACAGCCCATATGGTCTGTGGAGCTAACTCTCGCCTGTCGCTAGCTGATAGCTGCTGACAAAGTCATACTCTAAATAAGATCTGTTTGAGGTTTTCAATGAACTTTTATTCCTTCATTTGATGTTACAGACTTTACATTACTAATTAAAAACTACTTTTTTCTGTAACTTTGATGTAACACTTTTGCTCAAAGGCTTACTCGGGCTTCACGCACTGTTTGATAGGGATCTTGATCCCGAAAGGCAATCGGATCGTGGTTGTTACTTTGCAGGTCATTCCATTACCGCATCCGCAATTGTGCTTTTGCTAAGGTTAAAATAAGAAAACAAACAATGAAAATGAGAAGCACATACAGATAGTGAAATTATAAAGAAAGATCAAAAGACTAGATGTTATTTGTTTCGTCACAAGACAGAAAAAGTGTTGAGGTTCCCCTCGGTAAATTGAGCCAATTTGGTCTACCTATTGAGCTACAGAAAACGCCATACTAAGCTAAGTCGTATTTCAGGCTTGCTTGTGAACTACTTTCGTCAATGTAGATGGTCTCCATGGGGTTATCGTTAGCCTTAAAATGGCCAAAATATTTAGCCGTTAGGCACCAACTTTGACAAGTTTTAACCGTTAGCCGTAAAAAAAGTTAACAGTAAAAATTTATCTTTTAATCAAAAACGAAGGAAGTTAACCGTTAGCCGTACAACAGCCAAAATTTTAACCGTTAAATGTAGTAGCCATCATCCCATTGATACCCTCAACATACTGTGCCAATATTGTGACCAACTTCTTCACAACTCAATCACTAACATGGTAAAACTATCGTGACTTACGTTATAACAACACTGGTTTTTATTAACAATACATTAACCCTGTCATTAAAACCAAACAAAGAAGATTCTATATCGTGAGGCAAACGAAAATACTTATCTTTCCAACCACTCACCCCCATGAAAATCACAGACTTATTTATATAGAAAATATTGTTACTAACCACAAGATAGCAAGTGAAGAACTCCCCAAGTTTCGGAGCACAACGTTTTCCAAAGGCACAGCAGTAGTTGTCCTGACATTCAGCTTCGGAGCTGCAACGCTATAAAAAAGCAACATGGCGTGAATAAAAATTTGTTTCGGTCTGAGAAATTTGGCCTCGCGCGGACAACCTTCGCAGTCCCAATTCGATCTCCATAGAAACATCAAAGGAACACGAGAGATACTTGTTGGAAAAAAGATCAAATTTCGTGTGTCAAATTGTGGGAAAGAAGAATACCTGAATCGAAAATAACCTTTGGAGTAGGGCCCATTCTTATAAAGAATTTTCAAGTCTCTTACACT